AAAGACAGAGTCTTGCTCTGTCACCAGGCACCAGGCTGGAGTGCAGTGGTGCAGTCTTGGCTCACTGCAACCTCTGCCTTCTGGGTTCAAGCAATTCTCCGGCCTCAGCCTCGCGAGTAGCTGGGAGTACAGGCGTGTGCCACCACGCCCAGCTAATTTTTGTATTTTTTAGTAGAGACGGGGTTTCACCATGTTGGCCAGGATGACCTCAATCTCTTGACCTCATGATCCACCTGCCTCAGCCTCCCTAATCCACTTTTTGTTGGGATTTTTTGTTTTTTTTTTTTTTTCTTGCTGATTTTTTTGTAGATTCTTTGTTGTAGATTCTGGATATTCGTCCTTTGTTGGATGCACAGATTGTGGAGCTTTTCTCCAGCTCTGTGGATTTGTACACCTTTTTGAAGAGCTGTCTAGCAGTTTGACCTAAGAGCCTTAAAATGTCCATATGGCTTGACCCAGTAGTTCTTTTAGGTCTCTATCCAAAGCAAAGAATCAAACATAAGTTTTTAAAAATTTACCTTCTAAAGGTCTCAGCTCCCCATTGGGGAGAGATAGCAAGGGGAGAGATGCCAGATGTAGGTGATGGGGAGGAAGGCAGCAAATCACACTGCCACGTGTGTACCTATGCAACAATATTGCATGTTGTTCACATGTACCCCAAAACCTAAAATGCAATAAAATAAATAAATGGAAAAAAAAAAAGAAGCAGTAGAGCCAGTCCTGAGTGTGTCTAATGGTCAGTTGAACTGTGCCATGACTACTGATGGACGATTAGGTAGCCTTTGCAAAGTTACAAGAGCATGCAGTGGCAAAGGAAAATGTTTGTTATAATGCTAAACTTGGGGGAAGAAAGGAGCACATAACATGACTGTGGCAATGTAAAAGAAACACTAATACGTGGGGAAAATACAGAAAATAAGTGTGCCAGGGAACCATGGGCGGCTGGTTCCTTCTCCATATTTTCCACATTTTCTGTAATAAGTAGTATATATTTTGTCATTATAAGGAAAAACAAACTTTTCAAGTCTTGTGTTTATTTTCAGTAGTAAACTCTGATCTCACTGGTATCTTTTTCTTTCTATTCTCTTCCCGTTTGCTTCCTCAGTTCATCCTCTTACCTAGAACTTTGTTTTCTTTACTCTTCTGTTTTTCCACTAAAAGCTCCATTTGTCCATCACCTCATTGCTCTCCCTTTCCTGTGAGCAATCCTGAAGCTCAAAAGACATTCTGAATTACTTTAGGGTGTTCTCTAGGTACTTTGTAGCTTTTTATAGATCTTGTAAATTGTTAATTTATGAACTCAGAGATTAAAGAGAATTCACCACTCTCCTGGGTCCTAAGGAACAGCGGCCGCATCTTTACTGTTGACCCTGTGAAGGAGCATGTTGGCGAGTGGGTGAGGGGCATGGGCTGCATGGCTGCCTGGCCCGTGAAGGAGTGTGTTGTGGGTGGGAGGTAAGAGGGCATGGGCTGCGTGACTGCCCAGCCTGTGGAAAAGTGTGTTATGGGTTGTGGGTAAGGGGGTGTGGGCCACGTGGCTGCCTGGTCTGGGAAGGAGTATGTTCTGGGAGGGGTAAGGGAGCGTGGGCTGCATGGCTGCCCGGCCTGTGAAGGAGCGTGTTATGGGTAGGAGGGTAAGGAGGTGTGGGCTGCGTGGCTGCCTGGCCTGTGGAGGAGCGTGTTGTGGGTGGGGGGTGGGTGGGTAAGGGGGCGTGGGCATCATGGCTGCCCAGCCTGTGAAGGAGTGTGTTACGGGTGGGTGGGTAAAGGGGCGTGGGCCACGTTGGCTGCCCGGCCGGTGGAGGAGTGTGTTACAGGGGGAGTAAGGGAGTGTGGCTGCTCAGTGTCCTGCTTCACTCATGTCCAGAGAGGCTCTGTAAAAACCGGAGGCCTCCGTTTCATGGTGCAGCATGGGCTTGTCTGGGTGTGGGTGTGGGCGTGTGTATGTATAATTTAGGGAAGTTTACAGCAAACCCCTAGGGGAGGCGGGAGGGGATGCAGCTCTGGCTGTGCAGTGGAGCTTCCACAGGGCACGTACCTGCTGGAACATTCATTTCCTCCCCTGCACAGTGAGGAATCTGGAAGATTCAAGTTTGTTTTGGCTCTGCGTTTTTGTAGTTTGTATTTTTCACCACTGTGGTATTCACAGTTAAATAAAAAACATTGTGTAACGTAGCGTTAAGATAATTGTAAGCAGCTGGGCGCGGTGGCTCAAGCCTGTAATCCCAGCACTTTGGGAGGCTGAGGCGGGTGGATCACGAGGTCAAGAGATTGAGACCATCCTGGTCAACACAGTGAAACCCCGTCTCTACTAAAAATACAAAAACATTAGCTGGGCATGGTGGCGCGTGCCTGTAATCCCAGCTACTGAGGAGGTTGAGGCAGGAGAATTGCCTGAACCCAGGAGGCGGAGGTTGCGGTGAGCCGAGATCGGGCCATTGCACTCCAGCCTGGGTAACAAGAGTGAAACTCCGTTCAAAAAAAAAAAAAAAAGATAATTGTAAGCAGTGTGAGCACGTGTTTCATCAGTGCCGCTGTCTAAACGGTGCTTCTGAGGGTTTGCACCCAGTTCCGAGGGTTTGCACCCAGTTCTGAGGTGCCTGCTTGGTGGTGCAGACTTGGGGGCTCAGGAAGAGCCTGGCGTTCTCTGTGAGTTGTGCTCTGCTGCTCTGTGTGGTGACAGAGTCAGATGCATGGACGGACACTGCATTGGGACTCAGGAAACGTCTGTGAAACTCCCTGCTGACACCTGACTGAGGGGTGCTGGGCAGGTGTCTGGAATGTACGGGTGTCTCGGCGCTGAGGAGGGTCTCCTGGTCCCAACTCCGCTCACCCATTCCTGAGCCTGTGCTGCTGCCCCTGGCAGGAGCCCTTGGAGTCCAGCCCCACTCTGGTTCCTGGAGACGGCATCCCACTGTTTTTCTAGGTCTGTGGACTCAGATTGCAGAAAATGACATTATTAAGCAATGTGTTTATTTTCCCCTTTTTGTTACTCGGGTATAAATACCTGGCTGAGCTTCAGAACAGCCTGAGTTACCCGGAGTAGCTTTTCTGATGAGCTTCCTGCCACGCGGGTTAGCCTGCATGCCCTGCTTGTGGGTGGGAAAACAATTTCCTTGGGTTTTTGAAATGTTAATAATTGCCAGAGGCCTGTCTTAGGACCTCTAAAGGTCTGATTAGAAACTCCTTGAAACGCCGACGTCCCGAAGCCCTGCAGTGTGAGTGCCGAGGAAAGCGGCCAGCCCTGTTCTGTCCGTGGGAACCTCTGGCGCCTCTAGCTTGACTTCAGCTGTTCCTTAAACTTGATCTCTTAAGAGTCTGTCTGTTTCTGCCTCTGTCTCGATCGTTCATAGAGTCTTTGGGGTTGGGAGTTTTGTTTGCTTCTCTCTCCTATCTTATTTGTTCTTCCTACAAGCACCTGTGATGTTCCGGGCCCTCCAGGGCTGCAGGGGCCCACGGTATGTTGGGCTGGTGGGTACCAGCTGAGGCTGTGTGTAACGTAGATGTGCCCCTACCCTGCGGCTTGTGGTTTGGGATTTCAGGAGAATGTGTCGTAGAAGAGGAAGAAGACGATGACTGCAGAGGCAGTATTTGAGGCTGGGGTCCTAGTACAGAGGGAGCCAGGTCGCCTAGGAGCCCGCCCGTCAGCACATCCTGCCCTCCAGTGTGCATGCGGCCACCTGGGGGGCTTGCTAACCCACAGATTCTGACCCGGGTGGGCCTGCAGGTGGGGTTTCTGATGCGTGCACAGGTCTCATTTTGAACAGGAAGCTTCTTACTCTCACCTGTGCCCCGTGGCCGTTCCCAGAGCCGTTTCCCACTGTAGCGTCTCCACACCTTGCTCCCAGGGCCCTCCTGACCAGAGTGTGGGGTGACACAAGATAGTGAGATCAGAGAAAGTTCACTCTGGTAGTGACCTCAGAGGTAATAGAGTCTCGCCTGTTCTTCGCAGACGTGGAAACAAGCTAGAGAGGTTGCTACCCACCTAGGGCGCACAGTGAGTTAGCAGTAGGTCAGGCCTCAACTCCAGGTGTCCGTTGAGGGTTAGGAAGACCCTAAATCAGAGTTGGAGAACACTGCTCACAGGAGTAACGCCTGAGCCTGGGGGCCTTTTCAGGCTGCAGCCAGTATGGCCTGCACAGGTGCTGCCATTGCTCTTTGGCTGCGATACTAGGAAGAGGAAGAGTTGAGATTAGCACTGCGATAACCCTCATGATTGCAAGTGTAGGAAGTAGAGAAGAGAAATTCAGGAGCAGCCTTTGTGGGGACTGACCCTTTCCCTTCTTGTGGAAGGAGAGCGGGCCCACAGCAAAGCGGGCCGAGCAGAGTGTAGACTATCTGAGTCTCTGCAGCCCACAGCTGTTCAGTGGCTGGTGGGCTTAGGGGATGGGTCCCCTCAGAGCCACCTGTGTACATTGGGGCTGGTGGGCTATGCGAGGGAGTCCCCCAGAGCTGCCCATGTATGTTGGGGCTGGTGGGCTATGCAGCTGGGTCCCCCATAGCCACCTGTGTATGTTGGGGCTTGTGGGCTCGGTCAGTGGGTGCCCCTTGA